TTTTTTTAAAACAGAAATTCCATGTCTTATTAAAATGGCATTTTTCTAATGGTGCCAATAGATTGGTATATAAATAACCATCAACCTCACTATATGAAACAATATATTTGAAAGTATATAAATATGCTATTATAGTTATATTATTACATTACCAACAATATTTTTACAATATAAACTAACATCTACAAACCATTCCAATGTTCACTGTTAAAACAATGTTAGATGTGCTTACTCTTTTCACTACTCTTAATAAAAAATTACTTTTCCCATTTTTATACCTAGTAAAATGAAAATTCAGAGTTTTCTCAACAGAGTAATTACTTTGGAATGACAAATCAAATTCTCATTGTGGTTTTTTAATCCTCTCGAGCTTTATGAATAATGAGGTCTATTGAAAACTTAAAGACTACATTTTTTTTCTCTTGGAGGGTGTGTCTCATTCAGTGAATGAACATTAAGGAGCCATTGACCTGTGGGAGAATCTTATATTTCCTTTCAAATGAAAGGCATCAGGCGGTAACCCCACCTAAGGCAGGAGGAATGACTCGAGCAGTATTGAGAAGTGTTTCGTAAGTGCTTGCTTACCCTGGCGTCTGTATCAGCCAAGTCTTCATTCACACTAAGATCCTCACATCGGTCACCCTGAAAAAAAAATCCCATTACAGCTCTTCTGTAACATGTAATCACATGATTTACTTCATTCTCTTAAAACCAGATAAATAATATTCTTGGAGAAAAAAGAGAGCTAAGGATATCTTGTCATTTGCGACAACATGCATAAACTTGAGGGACACTATGCTAAGTGAAATTATCCAGACAGAGAAAGACAAAAACTTCACAACCTCACTTATATGTGGAATCTAAAAAAAGTTGAACTTACAGAAGTACAGGGTACAATGATGGGGAGTAAGAGGGCAGGCAGGGAGGGAAGGAATGGGGAGTTTTTGGTCAAAGGGTACAAAGTTTCAGATAGATGAGAGAAAAAAGGTTTGATTTCTATTGCACAGCAGTGACTATAGTCAATAACAATGCATTGTATATTTCAAAATAACTAAGAAAGTAAATCCCAGATATCCCACCACAAAAAGTGATGGATATGTTAATTAGCTTGATTTAATCTTTCCACATTGTATACATATCAAAACATCACATCGTACCTCATACATATACCTAATTACAATTTGTCAATTAAAAATAATAAGAAGGAAATAAACACAAAAAAGAGAGTTAGTTACTCATTTCTAGAGAAAGCAAGAAAGCTCTAATCTAAAATCTAATTCTTCATAAAAGAAGCAGCATTTCCTAAAGTATTTGAGTCATACCTTAGCAAGGGAAAGCAAAGCCTTCTGAAAATCTCCAGAGGTGTCTGAGGTGATGTCTTTGGCTAGATCTCTCTTCAGTTCTGAGAAATAAGAAAAATAGATTTTGCAGTAAACTACTGATAAGCAATGATAATAATATGATAATGTCTGACATCTCTATATTGGCTTATAATTTACAATGTCATAATACACAATGACTGACTATTGGAACACTTCCATATATTGCCATCTTTTAATGAAAATAGAGAAACTAGAGGAGGTGAAATTTGGGACCATCGCATTTATTTCCTATAGGCAGTGGAAGCAATTTAGATAATATTGTGAATGAAAACCTACAGTCATAAAGCTTTTGCTAATAAGAATAAGTTGCATAAGTGCACCTTCCAAATAATTAATTCTAAAATACGACATGGCAAAATTTAAGCAATAGGATGAACAGAAAGTTACATAAACAGATAAAACAGAGGTACTTGTTGGAACACAAATTATTTACTTTAAAAATAATAAATATCTATTACATAATATAGTCTAATTATATATTTATGTGTATGTAAAGAACTCTTTGTCTAGACACCTCTACTGAACTATGGAAAATAATGCTGTAATAGCAAAAAATTAACTAAATTTGTGATTGACTAGAAAAGAGGGTAATTTAATAAGCTACCACTTAATTTAATTAAGCTTCCATTTAATAAGGACTGCATCTTGGGTATAATGGAGAAATATGGATATTTACCTTTGTAAACTATGTTTTATTAAGCAAAAAAGTAATAATAATGCCTCTTTTGATTATTATCACTGATACATGAATCTAAGATAAACACTGGTAATGAGACAAAAATTGTAGAAAATGAGGTTAAAAGCCTCCTTATTTTTGATTCCTTTATTAAATTGCTCTGAAAATCATATACAAGGGCTGTTGTATTCTCTATTCTTGGTATGAGAATCAAGCAGAAAGACCCTCTACAGTGCCACATATTAGGGTGGGAAAACAGAAAAGCCAGAGAATTGGGGAAACTAGAGAAGGAAAATAGTAAAAAATTTGCAGCTATCCTCTTTTAGTGCTGAGCATATCGTTTAAATGAGATGTTTCATTGATGAAATAAAAAGAGCCATGACTAGTCTTTCATCCCCATGAATTTAACTAGAGATAAGGAATAATTGAATCATTTATGTTCATAATGGTAAAGTTAAGGTTTTCAACAGAAAATTATAAAATTATTCTTTACCTTTTCAAGGACACGTAAAGACTATTTTGTTTAGAGGGTTTTTTGGGTATAAAAACAATAAAACATTTTCATAAAATAAATCTCAGAATAATAGAAAATGTTTTTAGAAAATTATTTAAATTCAATGCTCTGATTGAGGTTTCCATTGCAATAATATGTAACCATTTGCCCTATAAGTACATTTTCTGTTAAAGTGCAAGCTTGATGAGGTCTGGGATATTGTTTCCCCTGTCAGCATCCTGGAAACTTGAACATGTCCTGATCACAGTGTGTGCATTCGATAGACATGTGCCAAACAATAAAGAAATATTCAAATATGTAAGGTTTCCAAAGCCTCCATAATTAACATCCACATTCAATTTTAAGAAAGTACATCAAATTTCCTTTCCAACTAAGGCACTTGGACTGTTGGACATTACAACTTACCCTCTCTGTAGACTCTGTTAATTTCCCTGATTTCTCTGTTATTTCTTGATGCCAAAATTTCGATCAGAGTGTCTTCATCCGTTCCAAGGCCCTGCATTGAAAGAACAGAAAAGATGAAATGTAGAAAAATCTTCATTCAAGAACACCAACTAGTTTTTGTGTCCCAAATTTGTTTGAATCTGTCATTTAGTAAATTTCACTCATAATATTTAATAATTATAATAAGCTCTATCTATTATATTGCTCTAAAACAAAATGGGTTTGTAGCCAATACTTGGATGTAAAGGTAGTTTTAAAACTGCAGATATATGACTCATGCAATAACATCACGATGAGGGTGTTAGTACCAACACTTATGTTTTCATGTATGTATTACTTTATTCACTGAATTATTAATGTATTCATTCATTGAATTACCACTGGTTGACAAGCATTGTACTAGATGTTTAAGGTACCATAGTCAGCATAACCAGACTTGCCCTATACATTCTCTCGAGGAAGGGAGTTTTGCTTAAATCGGGTGGTTTACCTTCATGGCAGCACGGAGTTCATCAGCATCAAACTGAGCTGGAGTTTTTAGTAGAGCCAAGGCAACTTCCTCAAGGTGACCAGTAAGGGCTTTCTTCAGAGCTTCATCCAGGGGCTGTAGAAAAGAGATTAGCATTAGGGCTTTTAAGTGGTTATAACAAAGATGGTGTTCCTGATCTTTAGGTCATCTTTCTACTGATCTTTTAGAGTTGACTTCCTTTCACATAGAAAAGCATACCAGATATTTAGGAATGTAATCTTAATATTTTAGATCCAGAGGGATTAGAACAAAATTTACTGAATTCTTTGATAACCTCTTAAAGGATAGGATTCTTAATCTTTTATACAGGGGAGAAATCACAAAGCGCAAAACATAGGTGCTGTTTGTTAACAGAAAACAGTATAAAAATACTTTAAAAATAATGTATTAATAATGTTTCCAACCTTTGCGGTTTTCATTACTCAAAAAGCACTATAATCATACATGGCCATCATATAGTTTTCTAATCGCACTGCTTAAAAGGAAAAAGAAAAAAAAACCCTATATTTGATATAAAAGATATAAAGCTTACTTTTAAAGTAAAATTTTATATAAATTTTACATTTAGGCATTAAACAGCTCAGTTTGAACTTTAACAGAAGACACATTTCAATCAGAACATATTTCTTACTACCAATAGTAATCTTAACGTTCAAATTAAAGATTTGTCTTCAGAACATCACATCTGCAAGGAACTTACAATAAGACGACCAATGTACAAAACGAGTACATTTGATAAAATTGATTCAATTGCAACAAAGTGGATAAATACTGCAATCTCAGCCTTGGATGCAATGGGACAACAACAGTGGTTAGAAACTGCAAGAACTAGGTAACTACGCTTCAGAATCCATGTTTAAACTTAAATACAACTGAAATTAAATATCTACCGTGACCACTGTAACCTACCTTTCCTTTTTCCTGGAGGTATGCTGCTTTGATCTGTTGACGCTGAGCATTGTTTCTCTTAGTTAGAATGTCAATGATGGTCGCTTCATCCACACCTGGTAAGACAAGGCCACCAGTCTTTAAAATCAATTTTCCTCATTATCAATTGACATAAAATGATTTATTATCAAGATGCTCCAAATGAAGTTCTTAACGAACTAAGAAGTATATCAGCTTGGGAAATAGATGCTACACACATATTAAAGGAATGACATTCCATTCATTGGAATGAGAAAGGAAGAGGCCATTAATTGTTTCTTGCTCTCCGTGTTGCAGTCTCTGATCCTATGTCAAACCCTAAATGTGAGAGGAGATGTTCATTTCAGCAGAGTTTCTGCTAGAAATAAGCTGGTTAAGGGTATCTGTTGTAGCAGTGGACATTCCACTGATTTTACCAAAATTTCCTAAGTGCTGAGAAAGGCAATATATCTTC